TTCCTTATTTCAATTGTGAAAATAATATGGTTTGCATGAGAATAAATAGAACACAGATTGCATCATAGTTTGCTGCTCATCAGAACGGGACCATGGAGCAGGCCCGGACTGGCCATCGGATGGCCGTGGGGCCGAGGCCGGCAGGGGATCTCCCCGGCCGGCCCCTGCAGGGCCAGCGCTATCTGAGCGCCGGCCCCGCTGTGTGACTTCATGGGCAGGTGGGGAGATCAAAGATCTCCCTCACCGGCCCACAGGCAGTGTTACATGCCGTCGCCGGGAGGGAGGAGAGGACCGGCGGAGCTCGAGCCAGCAGCTCCGCCGGGTCCTCTCGCGAGGTCTGAGCGTTGCCGCAGTTACCACGGCAACGCTCAGATCTCGCTAAGGTGAACTCTAGCCTGCAGGCTAGAGTTCACTCTCACCACTGGACCACCAGGAAGGCAGCACCCTCCATGGCAGCACGGCACCCCCCATGGAAACCCGGCTTCCCTCCCCCTCCTGGGCTAAAGGTAAGAAGGGAGGGGGGGATACATAGTTTTTATTTTTTTAAATAAAAAACAAAACAAAACATATTTATATAAACACTGTGCTATATACACTCACACTACTAGCACTCACACACAGCACACTCATACTAACATCACCCTCAGACACACACACACACACACACACAGCACCCTCATACACACACACACACTCAGCACCCTCAGACACACACACACACACAGCACCCTCAGACACACACAGCACCCTCAATCACACACAGCACATTCACTCACACCGCACCCTCAGACACACACACACACACACACACACAGCACCCTCAATCACACACAGCACCTTCACTCACACAGCACCCTCAGACACACACAGCACCCTCAGACACACACAGCACACTCACACAGCACCCTCAGACACACAGCACCTTCACTCACACAGCACCCTCAGACACACACAGCACCTTCACTCACACAGCACCCTCAGACACACACATCACCTTCACTCACACAACACACTCACACACAGCACACTCACACATATACAACACACACACGTATGTATAATATATAAAATAACCCTCAGTAAGTTAACAGACCCAAAAAATTAGAAACATAGAATGTGACAGTAGATAAGAACACCCTCACACACACAGCACCCCTCTTACACACACTGCAATCCTCACACACATGCTGCACCCTTCACACATACACACAGAACACACAACACACTGCGCCCTTCACACATACAATACGTCCAAATATATATATATATATATATATTTATATATGTATGTGTTTGGACGTATTGTATGTGTGAAGGGCGCAGTGTGTTGGGTGTGCTGCGTGTATGTGTGAAGGGTGCAGCATACATAATATTATTATTATTATTGCCATTTATATAGCACCAACAGATTCCGTAGCGCTTTACAATATTATATACTACAGCACCACTACACACATTACGCTCCAGATACACACTAGATCCCTCACCCTAAATACACTCTGAATCCTCTATACACACACACACTCACACACACACACACACACACACACACACAATCTCCTATACACACTCTGGGTCCTTTACACACAAGATCCCCTGCACACACTACATTCCTGACATACAAACTCTGGATCCCCTATGCACACACTACATTCCTTGTAAGCAAACACATACTACATTCCCTATGCACACACTCTCTACAACCCCTACACACACTACAGCCCATATGCACACACTCACTACATCCCGTATACACACTATGCCCCATATAAACACTTGCTACAGCCCCTAGCCACACATATTACACCACAAACACGAATTAAATTGACCTATTTACACAACCTCTCTGGCCCCGCCCCCTTCTCAGGGGGCCGCTGTGATTGAAAAATGCCCGGGCCTAATTTTTTTCCCAGTCCGGCCCTGCCATGGAGCAATGGTCTGATGAATCATGTGTTATTTTAGATCAGGTAGATGACTGGGGATGTGTGCCTTGTTTACCTGGGGAAGAGGTGGCAGCAGGATGCACAATGGAAGAAGGGATGAAGGCAGTATTATGCTCTGGGCAATGTTTTGCTGGGAAACTCCTGGCATTCATGTGGATGTTACTTTGATACGTACCATCTACCTAGAAGACCCTTCCTATGGAATAGCCTGCCTACCCCCATCAGACTCTCCCCTAGTCTTTAATCATTTAAGAAGTGCCTTAAAGTCCATCTCTTTAGGAAAGCTTATGGCCTCCCAGAGTAACCTCTACCTCACATACCTGCCTCTTGCTCTCTCCTAAAGGGCAGCACTCTACTCTCTCCTCCAGCTCTGCTTTACTCCACCTTATTTGATTGCTATTTCCTGTCCTAAAGTGTTTTATACCCCACTCCTTTAGGCTGAGCAGGGTCCTCTTCAACCTATTGTTCGTGTAAGTTTTCTTGTAATTGTCCTATTTATAGTTAAATCCCACCTCTCATAAAATTCTAAAGCACTACAGCATCTTTGAAATCACTTTAAATTCCCAACAATCTCACTTTAGTAAGTAACCTTGTTACAGTGTGGTAGACAGACATAAGTGTGCAAATTACTTATTTATTTCTTCTTGTAATGCTACCTACTGAGGTTTACATTTTCAGGTGAGTAAGGAGCCAATCTGGGATAGAATTTTGGCTGAGTAGTATTAATGGATGTCTCGGACCCCCATACCACCTAACTTAGAAGAATAAAATGAAGCATTATTGTTTCTGGGATATTTACTCTTTCATATTGTGGCGAAACCGACCTCACCACTGGGCATTGGAGAAGACTGATTGCCAGCCTCCTGCCATGTGACTATGGCCCCTGGGATGCATTGCCCTTTAAAGACATAATTTGGGCATAATGGATTTGTGTTGTGCTGCTGCTGGCCCTTTAAGAACCATACTGTGGAGTTACTGGGTGGCCACCATTTCATGTATCAGAGGCACATGGTGAGAACAATGGATGAAGCACATGGTGAGAACAATGGATGGCGGCTATTTTAACTCACAGACACTGTTTGGACTTTTCTACACGGTGCCATCTTGCCAGTATTTGGTGCACAGAGACATCGTGCAGTGGTTTTGGACTATACAACAGGGGACACATTATACAGTAATTGTTTTTCATATAGCCTGTATATGTTCTGCAGAATCTGCATTAAACTGTATGTTCCAAAGTACTGAACGGATCTGGGTGAATTTTGGATATGTGGTTCACTCAGATCCCCCGGTTCCAATGATATACTTTAAGGGGTTATTGCATATTTTGGGGTCCCTGTGATGTGTTTTATGATACTGTATTTCTATGCCTGTGATAATTATATTAACCAATGTGTTCAGTAATCATATCACAGGCAGAGGGGAGGATTTTGTGTGGGAGTGTCTGTGTGTATTGTATGGATTGATTGGTTGTAATTTAAAACCCTGTGGGCAGCACTATGTTTGTGGATTTTGAATAAAAGAGGCTGTATGTGCCAGTACAGTCAGTTTTGCTTGACCACAAAACAAAGTGTTGTCTCGTTATTGGGGGAATTGGATTGTATGCTGATTGCCAGGAGTGTAAGCTGATTATATGCTTTTCCTGGAAGGAGTGTAACAGACGCCGAGTAGAGGCTGCATCCAAGGAGGTTAGCCGTCTTCCCCTGAGGCGGCCGGAGGAACCCGACGTAGGGGTCCTCATAGACTGGTTCTGTGAGGAACCACAACAGGCAGGTGGAGATGGGACCGAGGTCTCTCCACCGGGCCCACCAGGATGCTGGGCAGCCGGCCCAGATCTCCAGCAGCAGCCGGAGTTGCGAGGTGCGGAAGCAGGTGGTCCTTACTCGCAAATGTTGAGAGACCTCACAGACTGGTCCTGGGAAGACCCACAGATGGCAGGTGGAGATGGGATGGCGGTCTCTCTACCGGCCCTACAGGGATGCTGGGTGGTCAGCCCAGATCCCCAGCAGCAGTGTATCACAGGGAGCTGAAGGTGCTGTCCTTCCTCCCCAGCGACAGTTTGTATCACAGGGAGTTAAAGGTGCTGTCCTTCCTCCCCAGCGGCTGAAAGTGTGTAAGGGAGAGGACCTTGTTACCCCCTCTCCCTAGTGGCAGCATAGCCCAACAAGGGGAGACACTAAGCCTCCCACCAGCACAGATGGGACCGTGGTCTCTGCGCCCAAGCTACAGGGAGTATGGACAGTCGGTCCTGCTCCCCAGCAGCAGAGTATTCTACCAGGAGGGGAGAGTCTCGTTCCCCCTCCCCAGCAGCAGCCTAGCCCACCAAGGGGAGATGATAAGCCCCACACCGGTGCAGATGGGACCGTGGTCTCTGTGCCCAAACCACAGGGTGTAGGGACAGTCAGTTCTGTCCCCCTGCAGCAGGGCTGTTTATCCAAAGGGGAGACAGCCTGTCTTCCCCTCCAGCAGCAACACCAGGTCCAGAGGGAGGAGCCTACTAACCCTTCTCCTCAGCTGAGCCCCAACCAGGCTACTCCCGCGGTAGCGCTGGCACCAGGGCAGAGTACCGCTGGTCTCTGCCCAAGCAGCAACCCACCGATCCGGAGGGCTAGTACTCCCCAGACCCGTGGTGGAGCCCCTGGACATGGACAAGCTACCTACTACCCCAGGTACAGTAACTTTTCATTGTGGGTGGGCTGCACTACTGACTATGTTTTGTGGGTGGGTTGCTGGACTAACCAAGGCATTGACTGACAGGAGGTCAGATACCTTGTTAGTCTTTTTGGGAAAGGGGAGAAATGTGGCGAAACCGACCTCGCCACTGGGCATTGGAGAAGACTGATCCCCCGGTTCCAAGGATATACTTTTTATGGGGTTATTGCATGTTTTGGGGTCCCTGTGATGTGTTTTATGATACTGTATTTCTCTGCCTGTCATAATTATATTAACCATTGTGTTCAATAATCATATCACAGGCAGAGGGGAGGATTTTGTGTGGGAGTGTCTGTGTGTATTGTACGGATTGATTGGTTGTATTTCAAAACCCTGTGGGCAGTACTATGTTTGTGGATTGTGAATAAAATAGGCTGTATGTGCCAGTACAGTCAGTTCTGCTTGACCTCAAAACAAAGTGTCGTCTCGTTATTGGGGGAATTGGATTGTATGCTGATTGCCAGGAGTGTAAGCTGATTGTATGCTTTTCCTGTTCATCTGCTTACAGCATTCATATGCTTGAGAGCATTTGTATGCTTCTCCGGTTCGGTGGTTGTGGTGTCTGCTGCAGTGCTTGAGGTGCTCAGGAAGTGCTAGGAGCATCTTTCAACGGAGGTACCCAGTCGGGGTGCCAGGTGATCCGTTACACATATATATTTACTATTTTAATAATATACCTTTTTGTTTTATAGAAAGAAGTTAGCACTTGAGGACTAGGTTTTCACTTCTTATCCATGAATGAATAATGAATAGTTTAACCTCTAGTAGTTCACTTGTCATCAAATTTCCCTGGTACAGATATTGTTAATTCAGGTGATGCATTGGTTTGTGCTACTCTCATATTTGAGGTAGTTTAACATAGTATTAAATATACTTACATACTGGCAATGTGACCAGACTGAGATTTGAACCTAGGTCTCCTAGTGGCAAAGCAGGGACATTACCACTGCTCTATCTGGATGCAGCAGATGCAAAGTAGGTTCCCATCGGGATCCAGGTAAGTTGTCAAACTGTGCCAAAACCAAATTCTTACCATGGGACTTTACCTGGGTGCTCCTAGCACCATAATCACTACAGTTGGTTTTAATATTTATATATATGTACTGTAAGTGCGATTTATACTTATTCAGCACAGGGAACCTTGGAAATGAAATATGGCTCTAATAGTTAAAATCTGTCTGTTGTTCACTGTATGGAAGGGGTTTGCAATAAACTTGAATTTAGCCATAGTGTTAGTTATAATAAAAACTATCCATCTGCTGTTTTCTAATCTCTGTTATTCATAAATGTCAAACATGGGGACATGATATATTTAAATACTACTTAAACACATGATAAAAATAATGATAAAGTATATATGGGTGTTGTGTGTATTTAAACATGCTGAAAAAATTGATGTTTTTACAACTTCATTGCCCTATAAAATCTGTTCCCTGAATAATGTCCAAAGACCATATTAAACACGGGCCTTTTTCTTTTTGGCTGGGGGGAAAAATACGGTAGCCCTTCTTTTATAGTTGGAATATAACTCCCATCACTTTTAGCACACCTTTATCCTCCAGGATGCTTAGCCTAGGAGCTGATAGATAAACTGGTCAGCACTATATAGGACTGTAATGAGTAAAATGCTATGACATATTATCTATCCATTGCTTCTCTCCCTCCTCCCCCCACCTAAAGAGAGACCATTAAAGTGGATTTCATTGCATTCTAATGCAGCTATTACTGCAATAAACCCATCAATCTTTAACCTAGGAGAAGAGCCCAAGTAGCTTTTTAAGACTCTCACAGCTGCCTAATCTTTACAGATCAAATTAAAAAGAGAGGCTTTATCAGAGCGATGCCATAATATCATAACACAGTTATTTTGACTGAAATCAGATTTCGTGTATTGAGCCTGAGTAGTTAAGTCTTAAAATCATTATAAGAATTCAAAGAAAGAAAAACAAAGGGGGTGGGATGGGGACATAGACAGAGAAACCTACATTTCTGAACTTATTTATTTTATTTACAGCTAACGCACATGAAAATATGTACTTTTGTTGATAAAAAAAACACTTTTTTTATGTATATGTATTTAACATTAGATTTGCGCACGTTTTTTTTAGTTCAAACCATTTTTTAGAAAAATCCAATTTTGTTCGTGATTTCCGACACTCGTTCATTTGATGAGTCGGCCACATTCTGATTGATGTCCTTGAAAAGTTTTCGGGAAAATAATTTGTATGTTCAAAAAAAAAAGGCGCAAAAATTTGCCAATCACTGTGCCGCAAAATATATACATAATATAAATGTTTACAGTATTTTGCAGTATACCGATAGGCAAAATTTCCGATCATACCACCCAGCCCCCTTTGACATGCCTCACATTTTTACAAAACATTTCCTTCACTGGATGACCTCAGTGTATGTACACAGTTCAGCCAATTAAGACATCAGAGTGAGCTGAGAGACTACCATGACTGCCCTACAGCCATTCACAGACATACAGCCATACAGCCCTCTTATTGTTTTGCCAAATTTCTCTTTAGCACAACTTTGAAATACTATGCAGTAGAAAAGGACAGTGATTGGCTGTATGGTGTAGTCATGTCAGCAGTCAGCTCACACTGATCTCACATTGGTCGAGCTACATTGAAAACTACACCTTTTGGGAAACTGGGTGGTGTGGCAAAGGATGCATTGCCGTGCATCGAAAAACTTTTCTGGAGCAAAACTAAGAGATTTAAATGCTGAGATAAATATGGGGAAAATGTATCAGATCCAACTGTGTTGTGCCTTTAAGAGCTAGTTTGCCACTTAGACTCTGATGATGTGATGACCATCTGTAGGACTCTGATGATATTATTACCATATTTTTTGTTCACATGGGATATAAGGTCATCATCATCTAATACTGTAGGTTACTAATTCTATGCAGACCTATTGGGGTCCATGCACCTCTGAGAATATCCATACAGAGAATAGGACCCAGAATGTCCTAGATGTGGTAATATCTCCTGAAGTAATGTGGTTTCGATTTCATATAACCAAACAGTGCCGACCTTGGGCTTCTGCCTTAACCTTTAGTGGCAGGTCCTATGTCAAGGTGTATGCGCAATAATACCTCTGAACCAGGCGTTTGACCTTGTGCTAAAAAAGTACATCTTCCATGGAGAAAAAAAGTAAAAAAGTACATCTTCTATAAATAGATTTATGTGAGTTTAAATGTATGCTTGCTAAAAAACATTTTTTTTCTAAGTGCTCATCTGTCCAACATAATTCTGCTGTTAAACTCTGCTGCCTCACTACATTTTCCATTATCCTCAGTTTGACGGGAGCCACCATCACTGGGATCAATAAACTCTGCCCTTCATTCTGGCAGCTATTTTAGTAACTGTTGGTCTCAATTTTCCCCAATTGCTCCACCTTGGAATGGGATTACGTGTGACTGAGTTTGAAGTTGGAAGTTATGGAACTGTCTGTTTGTGCATGTCTCACACCTCTTGGTATTTCTCAGATGTTTCTTATGTCTAAGTCACTCTGTGGGCATTATTGGTGCAAGGTTTGTATTATTTGTTAAATGTTTTGTGTGCTTTCTGGTCAGATGGATTTGGCTGTGGAGCCTGTACAGCGCCATTCCCAGTAACAGAGTCTTTGGACCTGTTGGATAGATGCATTGGTCCCTGAATTCTGTGACATGTTCAAAAAGATCCACAAGTGCCTTTGTAAAGGCAGTAGCTGGTCACATTTAGTGATGTCGCGAACCGTTCGCGAACCTCCCGCGAACGTCTCGCTGCGGTTCGCGGCGAGCTCCGGTCAGCTGACACATCCTGGCCAATCTCCAGCAGACCCTCCCTCCCAGACCCTCCCACCTCCTGGACAGCATCCATGTTGAAGGCAGCTTCAACATGGATGCTGTCCAGGAGGTGGGAGGGTCTGGGAGGGAGGGTCTGCTGGAGATTGGCCGGGATGTGTCAGCTGACCGGAGCTCGCCGCGAACGGTTCGTGGCGAGCCGTTCGCGGGAAGTTCGCATACGGTTCGCGACATCACTAGTCACATTGTAGGCAGAGGTGTTGATACCTACCTGGGAGAGGAACAGAAAAGGTAGAGGGGATGATACCTGCCTGGAAGGAGAGAGTTGCAGCCTGGTGCAGTGGAAATGGTCCACGGAGACCCCAGTCAAGCTTCGGCAACTGGGTCTAAATCGTTCCAGAGTCCAATTTCTTTTTAGCCATCTTTAATTTTCCAATTTTTGTCCAGAATTTCCAAATTGAAAACATATCTGTCATTTTCTCCAAAAGATTTCTGCAGTTTGGCTACCTTGGCTTAAAGACTGAAATTAATTTAGCATGCTCTTTGAATTCAAAATAATTCACACTTTAGAGAGTAAACAATTGTATCACAATCTACATATGCATTTGAACCATATTCATATATGTTTGACTGACTAAAGCATGTTATTGCTTATGGGCTAGTACGTGATAACGGATTTTTCCCTGCTTTGCAACAAGGTCTCTATTACAATGTGGTTTTGTTAATATGGTGGTCTCCTTGGGGTCTTACAAATCTCAGATGTTATTGCATGGCTGACAGTGATACGAATTGGTGTAATTATGAAATTAATTTACTTTCTCTAGGCAAACAACATGTACAGGTTAGCACAATTTGGCTGAGCAAGGCTCCCGCGTAGAGTATCTCTATTAAGAGGAGTTTAAAGTGTTAACCATGATTTAACGTGCCCTAAGCCTGCTGTCCTGTACAAATATTTTGCACTGGTGCTGAGGAAAATTGCTCATTGGCACATCAGCAGTAGATTGGCCAGTGTTCTATGTGTCATTTTAGTATTTTGTGCCACTTCCTCTTTAAGGCCAGAATAATTTTTTGGCTTAAAGTGGCAAACTTGCAATAATGAATTTCACGAGTAGTATCTTGGTGAATGATGCTTTCAACTATCTGCGCGTATTTAAAATAGTTTTGGTAGGATTTAGTTTACACAAGGGATCCTGAAGGAAAATGATGTTGTTTATCTTGTGGTCTCAACACTAGTGATAACATAATTCAATTATTCAGGCCACCTCGTTATGTTATTATTAATAAGGGCAAGCAAAGGGCATTTTAGAAGCAATAAGACAAACACATGACAGACGATAGGAAAATTATTGAGACACCCACGTCTTTATGTATATTGTTTATAAATATTTTCAAGGAACTGCTTTACGTGATCTGAAATACCAAATCGTTTACTAATTTTTTTTCCTAGCAAGATTTTGTGCAATAAAACGTATTCTTCCATTTCTTTGTTAATCAAAAGTATGTGGACAGCTGATCATCACATTAATGGGCATTAATATCGAGCTCTTTCTGAGGCAATAACTGCCACCACTGTTCTGGGAAGGCTTTTTACAAGATTTTAGGCTGTGTCTATTAGAAATTTGTCCCATTTGGTCAAAACAGCATTTATGAGGTCCGGCACTGATATTGGACAAGAAGGTCTTCCCATTCCAAGAGTATTCAATAGGGTCAAAGTTAGGGCTTTATGCAGGCCACTCGTGTTTCTCCATCTCAAACTCATCAAACCATGTCTTTATGGACCTTGCTGAAGCAGGGAAGGGCCTTCCCCAAACTGGAAATCACCCAATTGTGTAAAATACAGGGCCGGACTGTCCCACCAGGATACCAGGAAATTTCTTGATGGTCTGCGTTATCAGGGCCAGCCAGTACAGCCAGATTACCTAAAACTGGGGTGGTCATTTAGCCGATTGAGGCAAACACCAAGGAAGGCACTTGCACTATGCTAATTATACATACATATAAATTGTAACAAGGGTTTTTACATTCGTCACAGGGTTAGTTACTAAATTTAGGAAGTGAAAATCTGAATTGTATAATTTAGACCAAAATAGCAGATTTGGAAAAATTCTCCAACTTAACAGGGTTGATGTAATATGTTGCACATCTAATTAGAATAAAGCAGCTCTTTTGTTTATCATCTTGGGAGTGTGCTCATTCTTGTTGGCTAAATAATTTTCGATCTTTCTTTTTCCCCCCACCTGTATAACTGTCACAGTGTATACAATTCATGATAGGGCTGGAAGAAAAATTTTCTGGTTCTGCTTTTTATTCCCTGTCCAGCCCTTCTAAAATATCTTTGAATTCTGTATCCATCCATTATCAACCCTCCACCAAACTTAACAGTAGGCACTACTCATTCTGGCAGGTAGTGTTCTCTTGGCATCCATCACACCCAGATTCTTCCATCAGGCTGCCAAGTTGCATAGCCTGATTCATCACCCCATCTGACTCATTTCTTCTGCTCCAGAGTCCTGAAGTACTGCACAGCTGCTCAGCCATGGACGCCTGTTTCATGAAGTTCCTGACACTCAGTCTGTCTCAAGCACACCATCGCAGTGTGAAAGTATACTAAGCATGCACCAATGTCCTTTGTCCCTTGAAGCCCCTGTTATTTTAAACTTGCCCTTTTCTATGGTGTAGGAAAGGTTGCTGTATTATGGGTCGAGATCACTGGTGATCAACTTCAACAATGCTCAACCTTCGGCACTCTAGATGTTGTGCACTATATCTCTTATAATGCTCTTACAGCCATAATGCTGGCAAAGTATCAGGAAAGATGCCAAATTTGCCTACCCCTGCCCTAGAGTATATAATATAGTAATGCATTTCCTTTACACTCACTGACTACCGATAACACAGATATTATTATTGTTTCATTATATACAAAGAGCCAACACGTTCTGCAATACTGGTTGACGGGTAAACTCAAGACCAAACAAGAGGCTGGAGTATGTATGTTTGCACTTTAACAGTATGTTCAATCCTTGTTACACTTTCATAGGTAACTCTAATCCATCCCATAGATCAGTAAATTGCTCAGCAGATCAATGAGGTGACCCAAATGTTCTTTAGCAACGACGTATTGGAAAAGCCATTACCACATTACTACAGGAAGAAGCATTCTATCATAAACTCCTGTGAAAGAAATTAAATCTCTTTAAAACAACCATGCATAAATAGATTTATATAACCATAATAAAGTAAACATAGTAGTCTTATTCTTATGCTCTATGTCCTTGTATAAGGGTTTATAATACTTATTTAAAGCAGCTATGAACCTGCCCTCGCGGCCCGCGCCATTCATTTCCGCAAGGTCCTCCTCAGCTCCTGGTACTTTATCTAACAGAAGCCGAGAGTTCTGTACTCTTGCGCATTGGATAAGTACTACACGGATGTCTATTGAGGATTCCGTGAGACCGCGGAAGTCTTTTTTCCCCTCAACATTCACTATTGACAGCTGTGGGTTTGACAAAGCTTGACAGTGGTAACCACACAACTTTTTCTCAAGCTTTGTCAAGTGTAGAAAAAATACATATGGTATCTTTTGACTGAACTGGAATTTCAGGGAAATTCCAACAAAGACTGTGTGAGCTTTTTGTTAAGATTTTATCTTCATGAAATGCTTGTTTGGGAAGGGTGACAGTGATACTTTAAGTGCAGTTATCACATATTCTTTCCATGCTCCCAAAATTATATAAAGTGATATAGTTGCAAAATGTAAAAAAGGATGGGTAATAATCTTTACAACTTGGTTACTTTGGCATTAATTAGCAACTAATAAATCAGCTTATATATAATGCCCACAAGTCACTCTTTAACAAAGATCCCTTTGTATAAAATATCAGCTACTTGAATATCTTCACTATTTGGCCCTAATTTTTTTCAGCTGCAATGGCAATTTAATTTACTACCCTCAAAGGTAGGTACCTGACGTTGCAACAAGTAGTGATGGTGGGGTAAAAAGAGTTATTGACTATCGCAGTCATAACGTGAACTGAGAATTAAAGAAATCAGGTGAGTTGTATATTTAAGTTAAGGAAATTGGCATAAGAGCTGAATGCATAGATTGTTACAGGACACCATGAATATCCACATTCAAACTTTACATTGTGTATATTCTCTGCCTTAAAAAGGAAATGTTTGAAAAGACTATTTTGGAGTTAAAGCACTTAATCTCATAGGAACAAAAGGTTGCAGATCTGCGTAATTGGTACATGAGACAGTTTTGTAGGTTATTGATGTTTTAACACATTTGTTAACAGATTGCATCACATTAAAGCCATTTCTTACATAACCCCTTTATCGTAACACTACCCTTGGTCTTATATGCACTAATACTCATTAAATGAAGGGTACACAGCTCAGTCATGAAAAATGAAATACAATTGAACATGTGTATTAAACAGCAGTATACAATAGTCTGATGTAGAAGAAAAATGTATGATGTTATTTATTGTTACGTTATGCTTTGTAAGTTACATGCATCTGGTCTTCTCTGGTTTATCATTATAAATTGTCATGTCGTAGCATTTTGTAACCCCATAGCTTATGGGTATACATTATCCAGCTAGTCATTCTAGGGAAGTATTACTATTGGTAACTGGTTACTTTTTGGACTGTATTCTTCAGGATGATCCGCCAGCCTGATGATCAGTAATTTAATGCCTAAATCTTACTAAATTAGGATGTGATAGTTGAGCTTTGGCTAGCATAATAATACAATGGCTGTGAGTTCTAGTCTAGAGGTTCCTTTAGATCTCAATGCAATACATGTATGCAGGAAATAGAATCTTGGGAAGTAGCAGAGACATGCCGTAGGGTATTTGTCCTTGGGGTAAATACTTCTAAAGGTACCTTCTCGAATAATAAAATGTAAGCACACATAGAAGTGTAATTCGAGTTCTATTACAAAAAATTGTATAGAGAGATAGAGGGAAAAAGACCTAACACAGGAGAGCTCTAAAATTGGAAGTAGAAGTGTGTTTGCAACCTAATTAGTACTTAAGCATGTAAATCTAAAATAAGAAAAGCTCAGGAAAGTAAAAAATTGTGAATAAATAATATTGCCATATATTCGATGAAGATAACTAAAGATAATGGATGATGGACATGAAATAGATTAGTGTCACAATTCAATACTAATCTCAGTCTTGTGACTTCCTCCCTTATTGATTTGTGTGTAACTCCTCCATTTCTCTCACAATCCTAGTTGCCTGCCCATAGTCATGCTTACCCAGCACTTGTACAATGGCTGAGTGGGATCACAGAAGTTAGACATCTCTAGGCGACCGGCTTCTTCGCACAGTAAGGTTCTGGCAGCGAGTGTGGTTTGAGACCTCTCCAACAATCACACTCAGTTAGACTAATGGGGAGTTATGTGATAATTTTACCAATGATTCACTCTGTGTAATGTGTCACCTGGGCCAGACTTGCACCCCCATGATAGGTCACTGGGCAGTATCTGTTCTAGAAATCTTTCCTCCTTAAAATCAGGAGCAATTGCTTTTTAAACAATGGTTTATTGTTGATTAATACATTTTAAATTAGCTCTAAAACCAACACGCATAAGCCTCATTGTATGTGAATGATCTTAGCATTTTGGCTTTAGTCAGGAGCCTTATTGTGTACATACTGAAATGGCTAGATCAGAAACATATGCCAAACTGTTCTATTATCAGCAAATTATTGGACTGGGATATGAGGTCAACTGCCGAGACAAAATGAATAGCTATTGAATATACAGCCTTTCATTATAGTATAAATACACATTAAAACTGAGCTATGTTTGGCAGAGTAAAGACATGAAGAGAGAGTGAAGAGTGATATAAATATAGACACAGACACATTGCCCAGTTTTTTGATACTCTAAAACTGAGAGTGTGGGCCTACCGTCGCTGGCAAAGATGCAAAAAGTTTCCACAGCTATCCTGACCCAGTGTACCAAAAGAGAGTCCTTTGGAATCGAGGAGGCTCTGTAGATGTATGCCAAGCTCTTTCTTAATAAACAAGCAAAGCAAAATTGAATAAACATCGAAAGTATGCACATAAGGAATCCTACAAAACAGAATTGAATTTAGGTATGAGACTATAGAAATGGTAACAGTTACAAACAAAGAGGATTGTCCCATAACCAGTATCCAGGTATACAGAGTCAAGAATGAGCCACGTATCAGTACTTAAACAGCATACACAGCAAAGGGATTATTCAGTAAGCAATGTCCAAGTAAGTAAAGTTGTATAAAATATATATATATATATAAAACAAGAATGAACTTAAAGCATAGGCCCAATGCAGAGCCACCTTTAACTATGGATACCTTGCACAAGATTGGTTCTGCCTTTCAGAAAGGGATCCACTGAAAGCCAGCACCTGTGATTCCTATAGGTCCTTTGAACAAGTAAAGCAACCCAGGCAAATAGTTTGACAAGCAGTGTGCATTGACATTGCTGACATCCTCACACTATATCAGGTTCCACGGTGACTAACTGAGCTCATATAATGCACTACAAGAAAGTAATATGCAGAGATTTAAGTCCCATCAGAACCAGCCTTGGGAAGAGGTCTTCTAGACTTCTTTGATTTCTTATTGGTCTGGGGTTTTGGTTCTTGACACACGGTTGAAGCTCTGTATATTTGACTTTTACAGAATCCTGTTTTTTTCTTTTCAAATTAGATTTTGTTTTATTGAGTTGACAAATAAAAAAATGCTCAAAATAGTAAAAAAAGAAACCTCATACAATATAATAAGAACCTGAACAATTAAGCAAACAACAATTGATGTACCAAAAAAAGAACATATAGTACAAAAAGTGCTACCTTTTTACATTAGCAAGAAGCCTTTAGTATTGAAACAGTAGGTCCCCCCAATATAAGGTGTCCAAACACAAATAAGGCCACAGAACTAAACAATACATATCGTGCCACAGCCAACTCTTAACCCTGGTAGAACCTCAAAGGAGATATTAATTGAAACTTGGACCTTCTTGTTTATCAACCTCAAGAATTATAACACGTTAGTGATACCTTTTGGAATTTATGCAAACTTTTCCTCTACAGAACAAACAACGGATATCAATGCTTTTACCTGCTTCAATCAGCTGACTTCTGGAACAAAATAAAATCTCTACAACTCCCAAAGCACTCCCTATCTGCAACTGTAACTTTACAAATCCAATCCCAGGAAATCCCCTTAGATGAGGTTTAAAAACAAAATTGCACCATAACAAATAACCCAAAAAGTAACAGAGCAAGATTCCCTGATGAATTGCTAATTAGTCGCTTTCCTAATTAATCCCCAACTAAGCATTAAGACAAACTGTAACTTTGCCACAATCATTTCATATAAAAATATTTCTATAGTTCTAGATGCCAACCTTCTTTAAGGCTTCATTGAATAACACTGACAATTTAAACACTCTTCCTCGGGGCCAAATGTAGTTGTGGTCGTCATATCAAAACAAATTGATCAACAAATATGAATGACAGTCATAGGCTATAGGAATTTCATTTAAACATCTGTGCTGCAAATCACTCCCAGTACTCTCTATCAGTAGTTCCCAAGCCGGTCCTCTGGGCACATTAGTAGTCCAGAATTTAGACATTTCTAACGTGTTTAATGGAGATATCGACAAAACCTGAATCACGGGTGTACTTTGAGAGCTGAGAATCTCTGCTCTATATGACCTTTATTCTCTGCATATTTTCTTAGGTTGTTTTGTTCTCTAGTGAAACTACTGTACTTATTTTTATTTTGATATGTTACATATGAAGACAGTAAGTGTGATAACTGTTATCTTAAAAAAGTGATAATACTATAGGGTATGTTCAGCTAACATAACAAAGCAGCCACTCCGATTAAAGGTATACTGTAGTGCCAGGAATACAAAGCTGTATTCCTGGCACTGTCACTCTCCCTGCTTCCCCCCTCCCTCGCGCTCCCTGGTTATTAATATAATTATTACAATATTAAAAAAATACCAGCTTCAAATTAGATATATCTACACAACACAATACTAGAAAATAAAACTAAAATGACACTGAATAGCAGCAAGATAATAGTAGGCAACTGTGATTTAAATATAATTCTCAAAACATCAGTTCAACAATACCATCGCCCTCCTTTTTAATGTTCTTTTTTTTTTTTTTAATACTAACTTTTACCTTTTTCTGCTTTATTCTATACGTTATCCCTAGGAAGCACCCACATTGCCTGTGCACTATATTTACTATTTTTTTACTCCACCCCTAAGAGCTCTGTTCTACTGGCTTAACTTTAATTCTTTTACTACAAAAAGCCTTTATCCTTAGCAGTATGTTTTATATAGGTTACCCCAAATGTTGAATAACTTTCCAGAAGATACCAAATATTTTAAAAGAAAAAAACCCTCAATAAATTCTTAAAGAGGGAAAAGCAGGTTATAAAGCAAACATAATTAAGTTAAACATATGACAAATGATACAATAAAATAGATATTTTGATTTAAATTCTTGATGTCTAACCTGTAGAAGTGGAATTCCCTAGCTGATACCTTGGTGGTCTTCTTATAAGCCATATTTTTTGACAGATACCTCTTAGTGGTTTTTGGTTATACCCACATACAGAATAACCAGATTGCTTTGGGTCCACTGTACTCTAGGAGGGAATAAAGCAAATTTGGGACATTTACAGTTCAACTGTGTAAAGAAACTAGCTGCCTGTATCGATAGAGTCGGCAAACAAGTTCATGGTTGTACTCTAAGAATAAAATAAAAAGCTTTTACAAGAGAGAACAAAGACAAACGAGAAAAAACGGCATTATTAACATTTGAGAGTTCATGCAATCACCACCTTCCATGAAATGTACACATCCACAAATATATATACACAAACATACACCCATATTTAGCCAGTGAGCAGATGGCAGTCAATTTAAATGTTATGAGTCCCTAGGCACTGAGATATGGCTCTCTGCAGCTCCTGGAAATATGGAATGTGCCCTTTGGCATTAAGCTGTGAACGACCTGATGAAGCCTCCGTACATAACATACTTTTGGAAGTAGAACAACGTGTTTAAAAAATGTGAAATCACACAAACTTAGAAAATGGAGATTTGCCAAAATATGTGCGTATAAAAAAGTGTTGGGGTATATATGTGGTTGTGTGTGTGTGTGTGTATATATATATACTAATATTAACTACCGTGTTTCTCCGAAAATAAGACCGGGTCTTATATTAATTTTAGTCACAAAAAACACACTAGGGCTTATTTTCAGGGTAGGGCTTATTTATTTACGTTACAAGTATGTACAGCTCTTTCTCTTTGCACTCATCTTGTCTGGGGATCAAAATACCATACTGTCTAATTAATCCACCCCCCCTTTAATAAATCCACCCCCTCTAATTAATCCACCCCCTTTAATTAATCCACCCCCTCTAATTAATCCAGCCCACCCTTTCATTAATCCAGCCCACCCTTTAATTAATCCACCCCCTTTAATTAATCCACCCCTCTTTAATAAATCTACCCCCTTTAATAAATCCACCCCCTTTAATAAATCCACCCCCCTTTAATTAATCCACCCCCCTTAATTCAACCCCCTTTAATTAATCCACCCCCCTTTAATCCACCCCCTCTAATTAATCCACCCCTTTAATTAATTCACCCCCTCTAATTAATCCAGCCCACCCTTTAATTAATTCACCACCCATTTAATTAATTCACCAACCCTTTAATTAATTCACCCCCTCTAATTAATACAGCCCACCCTTTAATTAATTCACCCCCTTTAATTAATTCACCCCCCTCTAATTAATCCAGCCCACCCTTTAATTAATTCACCACCCCTTTAATTAATTCACCCCCTCTAATTAATCCAGTCCACCCTTTAATTAATTCACCCCCCTTTAATTAATTCACCACCCTCTAATTAATCCAGCCCACCCTTTAATTAATTCACCACCCCTTTAATTAATTCACCCCCCTCTAATTAATCCAGCCCACCCTTTAATTAATTCACCACCCCTTTAATTAATTCACCCCCCTCTAATTAATCCAGCCCACCCTTTAATTAATTCACCACCCCTTTAATTAATTCACCCCCCTCTAATTAATCCAGCCCACCCTTTAATTAAATTAATTCACCCCCCGCCCCCTTTAATTAATTCAGTCCCAGACATAAAATATCTACCGGTACTCACATTTCAAAGATTCCTTGCCGAGTCCGACCACTGGGTGCCTCACCGCCCGGAAATGGATCCTTCCGCTGAAGATCCGTGAAGGCAGACTGACGGCACTGCGAAATGTCGTCATCATGTTGCGCAATGCCACGGCCCGCAACGCTCCTCCTACAGTAGAAGAAGGAAGTCTCGCCGCAAAGGTGCAATGCCTAGGTCTTATTTTCGGGGTAGGGCTTATATTGCAGCCCACCCCGAAAATCCGACTAGGGCTTATTTTCGGGGTAGGGTTTATTTTCGGGGAAACAGGGTATTGTAAATGGCTTCTGGAGATGCTTTTCACGATAGCTCCTTGGCACCCACTTGCTTTACGTGATAAGAAATGTCTGTAGGTTTTGTGGGTGAAAACCAGACATCCATATGTAGCTCTGCTTTATGTAGCTAATTTCTGTATGTTTCTGCAACAATTTTGTTAAGTAAACACAATCCTTTGCAAGTCAACAGAAGATTACAATGATTTAAGACAGGAAAGTTAAAGTTGACCCTTTATTGCTTGAATCAGCAGAGCATCAACAGTGTTTTAATATAGTTAAAGTGGCACTGTCACCGCCAATTTCACTGAAATTCCAAATCCGTCAAAAGATATACCGGGACAAAGTAGAGACTGTTTTGTCTCAGTATTTTTTCTCCTCTTGACACTTCTTGACACTGGGAGCTCTGCCGCCAAGAAGTGCAGATCCCCCAGCTGTCACCTGTGACGGCTGCAGTGAATTATCTCTATCTATGGAGGAGCTCACAATCTTACAGGATCCTCCATAGACCTCAATGCTGTACCCTTGGACATGCGCGAGAGTACAGCAGTGACGTACAGAAGAGGACTGGTCGGAAGATGATGGCGGTGCCCGCGAGGGACCTGTTCAGGTAAGTAAAATTTACCTTTACTTGCCCACCCAGCCACTGAACCCCGAGCACGGATGTCACCATTGGGGGTCTTTGCAAATTATGCAAAGTTCCCAGATGGTGGCAGTTCCACTTTAAGACTAACATTTAATATATCTGTTGTGAGATGGGAATTTTGATCTAGAATAAACCCTATGACAAATGCTATACTAACTTTGTGCACTGGAGTAAGTCTTAACTAATTCTATGTTTCCCATGGCTGACTATTATAAATCGATTTGCAGTTAATGGTATTACTCAAACAGCTATGGGAGATTGCAATCTCATGGCTGTGAATATATGCAACCCTCTTCTAGGCAGTGAAACTGGCCTTAAATACTAATGCTGTAGGGACAGTGGAAGATCAAATACAGTGGGGGTATGTGCAAATATTTAGCAAATATTTTCAGGATTTTCTGCATCTGCTGCTAATTCCACCCTAAGTTTAGACATTAAATGCATAATGAATAACTAATCATTAAAATGACAGTGGACGTTATTTTGTTCTTCTTTTCTGTTATATACATACTTAGAGAAAAATCCTAATTATTTAAAATTTTTCACTAATTGACAACAGTGATAATATCAGTGACATCCGTACATGGTGATTTTTTATATATTGTGGCTGAGTATGAAAGTGCAACATTTGAGACGTATTAGGTTTGGCATGGATACAGTTAAATTGACCCTTACTCGCCCATAGCTTGGAATCCATCAGCAGTCTGTCAGCAGTCCTGCCCGGGACACAGAGAGGGTGTGTAGGTGCTAACAGACAAGGTGGCTTTTCAACAGAGAAAACAGGGATAACAGGGGCCTTAAGTAAGGAATGTAAAGGTATCTTTAAGTTGTATATGTCTTTGTGGTCTGTGCATACATACATTATTGTGTGTGTGTGTGTGTGTTCAGGTGTAACTGAAAGTACTCATGTGTGATCACTGTTGCTACGGCCCATCTTGTTTGCTGGTTTCTTAGGCAATGTTAAGCAGTGTCCTTTTCAGACAATGTTTTTAAAAGGACATGTAATAGAACATCACAACAGACATGGGTCTGAAAAAAAAGGTGTCTCGAGTTCATCTAAACTGGATGACCAAGTTAACGTGATCTATCTTTCTATCTATCTATCTATACGTACCTCCCAATCCCTATCTTGGATTTAAATCCCTCTCTTCCTCTTTTCTACCTGAATGTTCCTCTTTTATAGGAGCTCAATATCCTTGGTGTTTTTCAGTGTATAAAAGAGCTCCACAACATTAAAAACCCCATTAAATGTGTTTAAACTAAAGCAAATGAGTTTAGACATCAGTCTGTGTAAATAGGATACATTGTTCTTGGTCTAAATTAAATTTTAGTGGCATAAATTATTAGTAAGTCACCTAAAATTTCTCAGAACAGTCCTGCCCCTGGCCAATCCCAATTCACACTCCTAGAATGAAAGGGTCTCTCTTTATCCATTTTAAATGTTGGGAGGTCTGTCTGTCTGTATGTCGGTCTATCATATTATTATGATGTCTACTCAATGGCATTAATTTCTCATAGTAAGACAGTTTACTGCTATGTATACTCGATAAAGATATCGATCAATAGATAGATAGACAGACAGACAGACATAATGTTGCATATAAATAAATATAATAAAGTCAGAATATTATGCCTTTTGCAGCTTGCCATATCTCTAGTTGATGTTTAATGCAATTCACTATAGACTCAAAAAAAAAATGTATCCACGTTTCTGGAAACAAAATTGAAAACAAAATCTTATTTTTAAAAAAATAATATTAGCTTCTGGAAGAGCATTTAGCTTTCAAAATAAAAAAAACTGTTAGACAAAGTATACGTGTTAGCAAATCGTTATGCTTGTCCTCTATGTATATTTATTAAATCATCGGTTAAAGGACCACTATAGTGCCAGGAAAACATACTCGTTTTCCTGGCACTATAGTGCCCTGAGGGTGCCCCCACCCTCAGGGACCCCCGCCCGCCCGGCTCTGGAAAGGGGAAAGGGGTTAAATCTTACCTTTTTCCAGCGCTGGGCGGAGAGCTCTCCTCCTCCGATCCTCCTCTTCTCCTCCCCGTCGGCTGAATGCGCACGCGCGGCAAGAGCTCCGCGCGCATTCAGCCGGTCACATAGGAAAGCATTCATAATGCTTTACCAGGACGCTGGCGTGCTCTCACTGTGAAAATCACAGTGAGAAGCATAAGCGCCTCTAGCGGCTGTCAATGAGACAGCAGCTAGAGGAAATAGGGGAAGGCTTAACCCATTCATAAACATAGCAGTTTCTCTGAAACTGCTATGTTTATGAAAAAATGGGTTAACCCTAGCTGGACCAGGCACCCAGACCACTTCATTAAGCTGAAGTGGTCTGGGTGCCTAGAGTGGTCCTTTAATGATATGATATATGGCAAAACAAGTAAAAACACAAACTTACAAAATAATGTATTAGTATACAAAATATATATTTGTATTCTTTAAATGTTTTCCATTCAAAATTGTTCAGATTGTGTTTGTATCGTGCTGTTGCCTATACATATATCAACAACCAACATACTGGAAGTGTTTTGACACAATGTGGGAGGTTTACCAATGAGTTTGAAAAGTCTCATATAGGGAGGTTAAAAAAAGCAAACTAAGACTACTGTGCGAATATTATGGAAGTATACTCCCTTACTTTTTTTTTACGCTAAGATAACATTAGTGTAAATAGAATACTAGAAAACTATTTTCTTGTGCAAAAAGTAACAGAAAAAAAAGATATGGTGGAAAAGTCACTTAAGTAATAAAAAGGATATCACAACTTATAACGCCCTGATATTAGGGTCCCAGGTATGGCACCACATTAGTCAAATGGCAAATTGCAGTGAATTACACACATACACCATCACTCTCGTGCTATACTGGGTACGAAAACATGTATATACACAGACATATTACCAACAGGTAATTCTTCGAACATTGCTGTGTGTTTTGTAGCTGCATTCAATGAAGGTATTGTGCTGTTTGCAGCTTTATAAAGTCACTTACAACATGTTTACAAACTCCGCAGTTACACCGGAAACACAATCAATGTAAGCGCTAAGATATGTTTGTAAAGCAATGTTAGTAAATTGCATGAATCTTTTTTACTGACTTACAATAGTAGCTTAATTTTTCAGATGCGCAGATGAACTTGCTCACCTAACAAGGATTTTTATTCTTTTTACAGTTATTTTAACCTTGACACTCATTCATGGGTTCATTTAACCCCTTAAGGACACATGATGGAAATATTCCGTCATGATTCCCTTTTATTTCTGAAGTTGTGTCCTTAAGGGGTTAATTTATTGTACTGTTAAATGCAGGATTTTGGGAAGTGAAAGGCTTCCTTTAAATACATTCTGTTTACTTCCTGTTCCATTTGTAATATCACTGCTTCTCGTCCTAATCTTGGCTGCGTCGTATAGTACATTTTGTGTAGATTGAATCAGAGTGCTGTGATTATTTGTGACAACTTGCAATATGAAAGCGGTTAAAAACAACGAAGCAATAATAAACATCAGGAATAAAATATACGAGATATATTATATTCATTAAGGAAACTCATTTTTTCTTGATATCGACTTTTAATTAACATTTTTATGATGTCTGTCTTGATTTTCTGCAACATTCCTCCAAATGGTAACAGAATTACAAATTTTTCACATTACGGAGAATATTAGAGAACAATTTTTCTGGGGTTGAGGGAAAAGATCTACGGCAGTTTCTCTGTGATTGCTTTCAAGTGCTCTTCCTACTGCAGCCGAAAATGCAATTTTATGGACTAAATTTCCTATTGGCAAATTTATGTCAATTAAAAGTCAAGCAATAGCATTAGTTTAATGGTTGCCAACATGATGGTTCCCAGATACCTTGAGGCCTACTAAAATAACCACAGACCAGCAAAAGGAAGAACAGCATTGACTGTCATTCAGATTTGCAACCGTGCGGAATTGTTCAGTCATTATCACCTTTTTCTCTTATTGGTCCTCCCCCACTCTGTACTGTGATGACAGTAACAATGCAATTACAAAGTACTGTATAGGAGTTGGACGCAAAATTAGGAAAGATAGAGGGAGTAGAAAATGCACAAAATGGAAGCTTAAAGCAAAGGAAAAAAGAATGGAATAAAAAACAACAACCAAATATAAGAGTACAAGCAAAAATATTGCAATTAGTTCATAAGCGCACAGATAAAAAAAGTTGAAAAATAAAACAGAATAAGGAATTCAAAAGTATGAACAGGAGAGGGGCCATTAAAACTCAGGATCAGAAGGTACATAAATACACAAGAGAAAGAAACCGTAAACAGGAAGGGGCAGAGCGGAAAATAAAAAAGGCTGAGGGGCTGGCAGAAACATATAAA